AGAGACTCCTAAGTCGATCAACCAAGAGGTAGAAACAAAACTACCTGAGATAGATGGCATGGATTTAGAGGCCAGATGTGATTAGGAAAGCATAGACTGCACTTGTTCAAGTGTAAATGTCACAGTTGGTGAAGCAGGAGTGAGACTGTGACATCCAGTTTTGAGTTGGTGGGTACTTGATCAATGGTTGACTTGTATCAGAGACAACAACGAAGGTGGGTTTCTTCTTCTTTGGGCATGGGTAGTTGATATGTCTTAATTCTTCACAATAGTTACATTTGACTGATGACATGTTCTTGGAAGGGACGTAGTACGAATTGTGCTGATGTTGTTTAGGCACATTTGATCTCTGAGGTTGGGTTGCCACAAAAACTGTTTCTCCTTTAAAACTTGAGTTAAGAGATTTAATCTTGGTTTCTTCTCCAATTAGCTCAGAAAGAGCTTGATTTAGAGTGGGGAGAGAGCTTCTGTGGACCAGGCCATTTTTGACACTTTCAAACTCTGGACGGAGTGCCATTCAAAATTCAATAACTTGAAATTCCTTTCGAGACTTGGCAATTATTTTTGCGCTAAGACCATCTTCAATTGCAGGTTCCATGGGTGCTATAGCTTCCCAATGCGTCTACAAGGAAGAGTAAAAGTCATGAATGGACTACTCTCCTTGTCTGAGTGAGCGAAATTCCTGTACTGACTGGTACTTTGTGCCCAGCTAGTCATATTATAAATTTTTGCAAGAAAGTTCCATGCTTCTCGAGCAGTTTTGAAAGTGCTCAGATTGATCCTTATATTACTTTCTAATGAGCCCATCAATAATTCGAGCATTATTTATGCCCCATTCTTCTATTTTTTTCGGTTCATTAGGTTTCTTTTGGTCTCCATCTATGTATCCGAGTAGGCCTTTTCCATAAATTACATTCCGCATAATGAGGCCCAAAAAGTGTAGTTATTGTCATTTGAGTTTAATAGGTACAAGCTGATAAGATTCAGATTTTTCCATTTGGATAGAAAGAGATAGACACTTAAAAACAATAACGATTGGCTTAAGTAGGTGCAAGGTCAGAAGCACGAGTAGGCTAGGAGTTTAAAGAAAGAGAGAAACACCTAATAGGTGCAAGATCAAAGTAACACAATAGACCACTAACCCCACCTTTTTAAAATAAATTGCTCAAATCAAATTCCTAGCTTTCTTTACTCTTGTGAGAGAGATTTTGTGGGAAAATGATGTCTTGCAAACCTTTCCACCACAAAGACAAAAGTGTTTGATACTCAACGAAAACCCACCAATTGCCTGACGAAACCACCAAAGTACAGCTAATACTTGCTAAAACTATAGGATACAGTTTCTATATAGGTGTAGTATACAATTAGGCACTGACAGATTACAATATTCATAATTTGTAGATGCCATATCAGTTGTAGTTTCCATATCTGTTCACACTCCCCCTCAAACGCGAGATGATTTGAAGGGAATCATGGAGAGTTTGGAGATAAACTGTGAGAAATGATGCAGGGAATGAGACTTAGTAAAGAAGTCGACGAGTTGGGCTGCGGTGGGCACATATGTTAAGGAAATTATGCTTGCTAGATATTCTTGTCGAACATAGTGGCAATCAACTTCAATATGTTCGTGCGCTCATGGAACTCCAGATTTTTGGAAATGTAAATAGCACTCTTGTTGTCACAATAGAGTGGAGTAGGAGTAGAGATAGTGACACCCATGTCTTTGAACAGTTAACGTACCCAAACAATCTCAGTGGTGGTTTGTGTCATATCCCAATATTCAGTTTCCATAGTTGATTGAGCCATTCGTTTCTATTTCTTGCTTTTCCAAGAGATAAGAGTCACGGAGAAAAATGCAAAATCTTGTGGTAAATTTGCAATCACTCGGATTATCTACAAAATCGGAGTCTGTATAGGCGCGGAGCTCAAGTGAGGTAGAAGAGGAGAAAAATAAAGCTTGGTGATCGGTATCCGTGAACGAATGATATGCAAAACCGCAACGAGATTTGCAGAACGCGGAGCACTCAAAAACTGACTAACCAGATAAATTGCATAAGCAATATCTGGGCGTGAAATTCTCTGATATATTAGTTTCCCAACCAGTTGCTTATAAAAGGTTAGGTTAGGAAGAGCTTCTCCATCTGTGGCCCGAAATTTGGCATTGACCTCAAGAGGGATATTAGCTTTCTTTGAATCATCCTTGAGTCAATCTTGAGAGACAATCTCTGAAGCATATTTTAATTGTGACAGTAGATAGCTACGAGGACAATAAGCAATTTCTAATCCAAGAAAATACCGCAAGAAACCCAAATCTTTCATTGCAAAGGTTATATTGACCTTCTACTTGATTTTGTGAATTGTACTCATATCAGTGCCGGAGATAATCATGTCATCCACGTATAGTAACAAGAGAACTCTTCTTTTAGAAATTTCAGACACAAAGAGGGCTAGGTCATGATGACTTTGTCGAAATCGAACAGAAAGAACTTCATTACGAAATTTCTCAAACCAAGCACGAGGTGCTTGTTTGAGTTCATGTAAGGTTTGTTGAAGTTTACACACTCATTTTTGAGAATCCACAACCGCAGGAGGTAACTTCATATACATTTCCTTATCAAGATTACCATTGAGAAAAACATTTTTGACATCTAATTGATAGAGAGGCTATCACTCACGCTCTCACCTTTATTTCTTGGTCCCCCTTTCTGATCTTGTTCCTAATTCCTCTGGTCATTCCACTCGTGTCCCTCCATATGAAGCTCAAGAAGGAACTCCACCAACGATGCTAACAGTTCTGATCAGAACCCTGTACCTGCTGATCCTCTGCCGCTCCCTGCTCTTAGATGAAGCATAATTTCCTTACCATATGTGCCTACTGCATCCCAACTCGTCGACTTCTTTATCAAGTCTCATTCCCCACATCATTTCTCACAGTTTGTCTCAAAACTCTCCATGATTACCTTCAAAACACCTGTCAGTGCCTAATTGTATACTACACTCATATAGAAACTGTATCCTATAGTTTTAGCAAGTGTTACCTGTACCCTCTGTATAAATCTACGATTGTATTGTAGTCTTAGAAATATTATTTTTCATACAACCATGTCCTTTTGGGCCTACCCCCAGTGTTTTAAAATGCGGTTGCATCAAGCATTATGCATTGGGCAGCACATCGAAAATCCCTGCACATGCAGTTTGGAGAGATGTGCCCACATATGTGTCGCATCTCTCCGCATATGCGCTGCATCTCTCTACATCAGAGCCGCATCCTGCTTCTCATCGCATCAGGCCGCATAATCGTTTGCCATTTTTTTTCTAAACTGTACCCCTCGGGCAGGGGTAATAAGGTCATTGTGACCTTCAAAAATGAGGGAAAAGGGTTTTTTTGGGGGGGTATTAAACCCCCCAAACAACATTTTTCATCCATATCCGTGGCTTTTATTGGATCTATTGAATCAAAGAAAAATTTTGGGTAGAAATTTTATTTGTTGAATTTCTTCGATTTGTGCATTTGTTGATGCTTGGTTGTTGATTTGTATCTTTTGGGCATTGATTTGAGGAAAGGGTTTGGGGGTTATTAAACCCCTCAAACAAATGATGATTGTATTAACTCTTCTTAAGCTTGACTTTAAAACTCTTTGATCTTCATGGACTTTTAGTTTGTAGTATTTTGTGACATTAAAGTTTGTGGTTTCAGATTTATGCTTATGGTTGTTGATTGTTGAATGTTTTATGAAGTTTCACGTTTCTAGTTTCTATTAGGGGCTAGTGGATGTAGAATCTCCGACAGCTAATACTTTTGGAGTTAATGAATAAACTAGATACCCTCTATCACATGTATCACATCCATATTATTTTTATGCATTAACCTGTTTTTTTAAATTTTAATTTTTTTTTATATTTATTGACTGCATCACCACGAAGCACCCGCATCCGGACCGCATCGAGCCGCTTCCTCACATCAGTCCCCCTACCGCTTTCGGTCGCATCCTGCATTTTAAAACACTGCTTACCCCTTGCCCTTTTTGAGCCTTCCACTTGAACTAACTCATACCTCATAACAAGTACTTTAGTGGGTCTACCTCAGACTTTTTACTATGATGAGTTATGGCAGTCATTGGTTTTTAATTATATCATACGGATTCAACACTCGGTTAATTGCAATTGGATGTGTCTGGTTCAGGAACCCTAAGACTTGGCTTAGTTTCACTAGATCATGACCTTTGTTATTTTTTGGAGACTTGGTTGAGTTGGACTGTTGACTCGGGTTTGGGACCTTTTCAAGTCCCAGTCTGGGTCCATGTTTTAAATTAATGTGTAATACATTACATTTGGAGAACAAGATCTGTTTAATCCTCGATTTGTAGTTGGGAAAATATTTGATAATTTGAGCAACGGTTTGATCTCTGTTTGTCATTGCAGAAATAATGTGACTTTATGGACAATATTTGGCACTCTGGGTTCATAAACAATAGGTCATCCACAAAATTTCTAGTTTGAGATGTTGGTAGGGGATTTAGTAGTCCAAGAAGTTTCCTCTTGTTCTTCACCACTGCTGTCCTTTCAAGCAATAATTCCCCTTGAATTGGCCTTGACATAAAAAAGTCACGCATTCTTCTGTTGTGTTCATTGTTATTTTTCAATTTATTGACCTAGAGCTACCAGGATCATTTATGCGACATCTTAATGAACATTATCTTTGCTCGAGTGTTCTACATTCAATTCGCAGAAGCCTGTTCGCTACTAGACTGACAAGATTCGAGCGATTTGTTGAACTAAAATAATCTTTTTAGGTGGTGATCTATGGCTCATGTCCTGGTTAGTTAAGTGGTTATGTTGGAACTTCGAATGCCAATTAAATTATAAAGAAATCATGTCTTGGTGACTAATTATATTCAGTTTTAAATTTAAGGCGTCATTGATGACATACAGTTGAGCTCCATCTATCATATTTGCATGTTCTGTCCTAATGATTTGCTAATCATGTTGTTTATAATCAGGCCACTGAAGAAGGAAAGTACTGCTTAGCCCTTGTGTTTGAGGCAAAAGCTTTGCAGTTGTCAGACTTCGAACAAAGACAAGTAATGAGACTCCATTTGTTGCTTTAAACCTGGTTCGAAATGGAAAAGAACGTTCTACGCGACTAACCTGTGACTAGTCTTGCTTCTTTGGTTTTGGAAACCAAGCTTACCAGTTATTGCTTGTGCGCATATAATTATATCAAAACATTCTAATGCTAATGATTGTCCTAAAGAGTTTCTCAATCTTTTCTTTCTTCTCAGGCTAAATTTGCGTCATTCTTTGGGCCAGGAATTACTGCCGAAGTTGGTGAGTTTTGGGGAAACTAATGGCATAACTGTTTCTGTTAAAATTGCTTGGATTAACTTCCCCATTTCTGAGTTCCAATGTTACACACATAATTCTTGGTTGCAGGGAAAGGTGAGGAGGAAGGTCTTTATGAAGTCAAGTTAATTTCAGATACGACTCTATGAAGTATTCAGCCTGTAATGTTGAAGCCTACTCTCACTGTAATATGCCATTGTATGATTAAAACTGATCTGTATAAAACCAAATTGTGCATTCAATATCAAAAATATCTTTGAAGCTTGTGCTTAAGCTAGTTGTGCCAGAGGTTATGATAATACTTCTTGTGCTAGTACGAGCTTTACATGTTCTCTTTAGATGATTCAATCCTGTGGATCCGAGAGTCAGTTGTTATTCTGCTATCCAGCACATATCCATCTTAGTCATTTTTGTTCTCCCATTTTCAAAGGGTGGTAAGGAAATCAACTCCTCAAGCAGGATTCAGAAAAGCAAAAGACAATGTTTTGTACAATATTCTAGTTCGCTGATTTGTTCTTCGAAGTTCACATAAATGCCCTACTTGGGTGAAGACGTTCAATAAAGTAAAAAATCATATTAGGCGTCAGTTTTATATTATAAAAGTTAGATACACCAAAAAAACCCACCTGGAAATTTGTTTTGAAACTGGGAAACCCTCCAATGGATCATCTTGACATTAATATCTATAGGGATATATATACATATAAAAAAAAAGGCTACCAAGTCTTAAAGATGAGGCTTGTTGCAACCCATTATCTAGACTGTTATTTTCATGGTTTTCAATTGTTTATAGATTCTCACTCGATCTGCTCTATTTTTAGAGCTTCAAATTTTATAATTAGGATGGATATAGACTTTTAGACTATCATGGTGGTTTTTTGTTTGATTCTTTGAGGTTGATGCTTTATACAAATTGCATGTCTTGATCAATGAGAAATTGTTGGAGTAAATTAACTTATCGAACAAGGAAGCCAGTTTACATTAAAGGTTTATTGATGAGCAATACGACCTTTGATGTGAATTAACATTGACCCCTTGACAAAGAGAGGCTTGTTAGAAAGTAATACTAGTGAGGGTTAAGGTACTTTTATACATGGAATATTGTTTAATGTAAATTTTTTTTTGACATTTATTACCTTTGCTTTGCAATAAAAAGTATTTCGAGCAATAATGTTTTTGATTATTAAGAGAGGTAGAATATTTTTTGATCATTAAGAGGGGTAGAATACATATTTCTAGAAGAAATTAGTGGTAACTAATGTTGCATGCGGACGATGTTATGTTTCATGTGGATGATGTTATTTTTTACTGTAGTTGACATGTTTTTTTTTATAAAAAAATTATATTTTATTTTTGATTAATTAATACTATGTATTAATGCCTCATGTGGTGCTCATTCAGTGTTGGTCCCTATGTATTGAATAGGTCTAAATCTTTTTGGTGATTCCCAAGAAAATAATTGGGCATCTATGGATCATAATTGAGGGCATCTACGGATCGTAAATCGCCCTATTCTACGTGAGAAATGTCTTGTTTTGGCTGCGGCCTAATTTGGAAGGATTCCAAATAAAAAGATGTCTGCAGATTTGGTGTACCATTTTAAGAGTGACCGGGGCTTCAGGAATCCATGGTTTTCCTCATTTTTTCCCCAATTCCATGTGTCTTTCTCTAACCTCTCTTTAATGTTTCTATTATCTTCCCTTTGAAATACAAGATAGTTTTGAAGCTCTGATGGCTGATTTCAAATCAAAATTTTGATTCAAGCTCTAACAATGGCATTCATGGAGTGATAATGTCACAGGCGGGAGAGAGAGAGACTCCAGGAAGGGGCTGCGGGCAGTTGAATGGAGTTGTTAAAAGTAGTTTATTTATCTAAGACTTGGGAGGAGAGAGAAAGATAAGGTTTTTGAGGTGCACCTCAAAAATCCATCATAAAAAGTTGTTTGATTTGAAGACCCTCTAATTGATCATCTAGACATCGACATGTATGAATATTTAAAGAAAAAGAGATTTCGGGTCTTAAAAATAATGTATCTTGCAACACACTATTTGGACTATTTATTTTTTAGATGTTCAAATGTTTATAGATCTAAATGATTTGAATCATTTTTAAAATTTAAGATTTTATAATTAAAGATGAAAGTAGATTCTAAAGTCATCCTAAAAATTTTTGACACTAAAATTATATTTATGAAAATTGAGAGGGTGCCTGATTATTTAAAATTGCAAACTTATACAAACCACACCCTTTTCACAATTCTTTATATTTTACACCAGCCAATTACAATCAATCTTTACGTGGGCTACACTTGCAACAAATCTCAATAAGAACTGTAATACATAGGCTACAAAATAACCTAATCATAGTTGAAACAAGGCCCAAGGTCTTGAGCCAGCATGCCCTTAAACACTTTCTACTCATTGGTACAATAGACATTGCAATATACCAAGACTATGTTAATAAAACAAAAATTCAGCACGTGTTATATAGAATCCACATAAACATAAAAGCAGCAGTTCGATACATGGACATTGTCTGCAATTTCTTTAACATCAACACATTAAAACGAAAAGAAGAGGACTATGGAACCAAGGAAAGCCGAAAACATATCACATGGCTCAATGAGAGGAACTGGTGCTACAAACCCATGGAAAACATGCACACAAATAGTATACTACAAGGGGTTGATGCACGAACTCAATTGTGATCAAGGAGCAGCCAACGGAGGTTAAATTATGAGTGAAATGCGGCTGGTTTTAGTCACAGAAGGGTGATATGGAGGTCCATGGTTGGAAATCAAACTATGCACACGACTACGGTGAGATTGTGTGGTCTGGACCAACTTGGGATGGGATAAGCCAAAGGCTCGATGGGTACTACACCATGGTTTACGAGAGAGGAAGGTGGACTGAAAATGGCCTGGAGGCTTAGGCAAGAGGCTAGCACATTTTGGGAGAATAAAATGATTTGAGAGTAGTGAAAATGTTGTACCCATTGTTGTACGTGTGAGTGGCCATGGGGTTTCACATGTCCCATATTTCTCTCTCTTATTATTTATCTTAATCATTTAATATTTAGGGAAAATTATAAAAGCCCCCCTCAAGTATACTATCTATGCAACTTACCCCCCAGCTAACCTTTCCTCTCATTTTTCTCCCCAAAATCACCTTTCCTTGCAAAAAACCCCCAAGGTAAAAAGTTGTTACTTTTTTTATGGAATCGCCCTTCCCTACAAAAAAAAAGTCAATTGACGGTCCCAAGTAGCATATTGTCGGAGCAATGTGGGTCCATAAGGTGTACTGCCGGAGCACGTATTTGTACTGCCGGAGCACTTGTCATTATTGTCGGAGTGACCTATTCAACCGTCGGAGCGATGTGGCACAAGAAGGTGTACTGCCGGAGCGCATCTTTGTAGTGCCTGAGCGCATCTTTGTACTGTCGGAGCTTGTGTCCTTATTGCCGGAGTGACCTATTCAACCGCTGGAGCAGAATGCCTCCAGAAGGTGTACTGCTGGAGCGAGTCCTTGCATTGCCGGAGCACGTGTCTTCATTGCCGGAGCGTTTAAATGGACTACCGGAGCGCATGGGGAGAGAGTCGCGGGTAAAAGCCACGAGGAGAGACAGAGGGGTAGTTTAGTCATTTTTTTATTTTGTTTTGGATTGGGGGGTTTTTGCGAGAAAAGATGGTTGTGGAGAAAAAAAGTGAGAGGAAATGTGAGCTGGGGGCTAAGTTGCATAGATAGTATACTTGAGGGGTTTTTTGTATTTTTCCCTAATATTTTTTTATAGAAGTTCAGCGATTTTACTGGATATCAAAATGGGATTATAGCATCAGAGCAAATACTGAAGATAGGGAAGACCCCCCTTTGGCAACAGAGCGGGCTAAAACATTAGCCTCGCAAAAGATATGCACAAAAGAAATAACAAGAGACGTAGATAGGTCCCAAATTTGTAGCAGGGAAGACCTCAGCTCCCAAGGGGGCTTGACAACACCATTACAGTAGTTGATAACATTGAGAGAGTCCCCCTCCACAATACAAAACTGACCTATATCTCGTTTAATGAATAGTTTCAGGCCATCGAGGAGAGCCAGCATCTCCGCGTGGTTGGCTGTTGTGATCCCTAACGGCCCTACATAGGAAAAAATAATCAGTCCACTCGAGTCTCTCACCACATCCCCATAGCCAACCCTCCCTGGATTCTTAAGAGAGCTCCCATCGAAGTTAAGTTTGAAGGTGCCTTCCAAAGGGGGCACCCATCTACCCTGTAGTCTACACTTTAGGGATCTCAAAAAGAAAAGGATAGGACGATTTCTCTACACATCGACTTCTAAAATATCGGTCCCCTCGTTGGTGATTGAACGAAAACGCCAAAGATCGTGAACAATTTTGTGCAATAACCTCCCAAAAGGGAGACTACAACCATCAAACACTCTTTAAATCCTTTCTTTCCACACTTCCCACAGGATCAGGCCTCGCGCAATCTGCCACAGGGACATCCCAAACTTGGGCAGCGGTACAGACAAATTTGAGATAATACCAATAACCTCGGCAGGCTTGATAATGGGTATCCCCATTTTATCAAAAACCAATATCATAATTGAAGGGTAAAAGGGAAATAAGGAAATAAATGCGGACCTATTTCAGCATCTAACTTGCAAAGCAATTACACTGTCACGACCCCGTTCCCTAACCCCTACTGGAGGGAGTGGCCCAATGCATAAAAGCACGGAATCGAGTACAAACCATGAAATAAAACTATAATAAATCCATTCATCAAACAAATATCAATCCAAAAGGTACAACCATTTCATTAATTCAATATCAAAAGACTTTACAATTTCTTAGAGGCACTACTGGCCCAAAATATATAAAATGAAGTATACATCAGGCTGCTGAAATCACCCAAACATACTGTGAAAGTCTTCAGAAGACGGCTTCTCAAACTTCTCAATTTCGGGCTGCAAGCTCTCAAATTGCCACCCACCTTTGGCACAACTGCCACCACCCTTCACTCTACAGTTATGAGATTAAGATGGAATGAGCTAAAAGCCCATTAAGCAGATCACTGCCCTTGCATTCCTAACTAGCAGTATATATACATGATAACATGCCCATAGTTCACCATAAATCGCATTTGTCTTACATAGTGTAGTCACATATCATAGTACACATGATTACTATATAACGAGGGTAAGAATCAGTTAACGGAGCATTACTTGTCCTCAAGATGACATCTACCAGTTACCGTCAAATAGTCTTACTGAATACAG